TTTGCCATCGGGATTGGGTTTTCATCGCCTGGCAACGACGTTGTAAAACCAGCCAACTCACTTCGTGAACTCGGCAACCAGGTTGCCGGTTTTTTTTTGTACCTCTGTTTTTTTTTTGGCGGTAGCCATAATGGGGGTCGAGTAGATCAGGTTGTGCGGGGTCGAGAACCCTCACTCCGCGCAAGGGGGATGATCGCACCACGTTGTGTTAAAATGGTCAAGCACCCTCGAGGCAGTTACACAGTGCTTACAACTGTCTCTGGAAGTGAAAGCACAGGCAAATATATTACGTCATACGTAGCTGTCATCCGTACGCAAGGAAGTACGCACAAGATGCCGAACACCCTTAGCAGGATGCAGCGCACCCTTCATGCGACTCGCCGAATATCTCACGGCGCTTCGCGCTTGGTGATGTGAGAGCCTGGTCCGGTGAGAACCCGGCGTGCTCCGTCCCGGCTTTGTAGGGATGCGAGGTCAATGGTCTAACGACTACGGCATGCACGACTATGAGTACACCCCCCCCTCTGGTGTTTGCCATCGGGGTCGGGTTTTCGTCGCTTCGCAAAGGCTTTGTAAAACAAGCCGCCCCCCCCCGGTGTTTGCGATCGGGGTTGGGTCTCGTCGCTTTCGCTTGGCAACGACGTTGTAAAACTAGCCCATTCGCTTCGTGAACTCGGCAACCAGAATACCGTTTGTTTTCATCTCTGTTTCTTTTTTGCAGTAACCATAATGGTGGTCGAGTAGATCATGTTGTGTGGGGTCGAGCATCCTCACTCCGCGCAAGGGGGATGATCGCACCACGTTGTGTTAAAATGGTCAAGCACCCTCGAGGCAGTTACACAGTGCTTGTAACTGTCTCTGGAAGTGAATTGACCGGAAAATACATTAAGTCATACATAGCTGTCATCCGTACGCAAGGAAGTAAGCACAAGATGCGCCATCCCTCGGAATGTGACTGAACGCCTCTGAGTTAGAATTGCGCCTTCATGCGACTCGCCGAATACCTCACGGCGCTTCGCGCTTGGTGATGTGAGAGCCTGGTCCGGTGAGAACCCGGCGTGCTCCGTCCCGGCTTTGTAGGGATGCGAGGTCAATGGTCTAACGACTACGGCATGCACGACTATGAGTACAGCCCCCCCCTCCCCCCAAACTCACCTTTGGCAACGTAACCCTAACCCAGCCCCAAAAACCAATATTTTGCACTCCAATCCCCCACCCCACGCAGGACGCGGGCGTGATGGAGATGTGTGCCGTGAAGGTAGCCCTAGCCCTGGACACCTCGTTCGCTGCGCTCGTGGCCGCCGAGAACGAGTGGGCGAAGGCTGCAGGGCGCCGACGAAGCTCGGGCAGCGGAAGGTATTTGTCCCCCCCGCTCGTTCTTTGCACCGTGGTATTGGACCGAGGTGTAGACCCCCGGTGGTCGCCCATGACAGGGCAAGGTATCGAAGCACCGGCGGCGTTTTTGGACCTTGTACCCATCCCCGCTCGACCAGACGGGAGTTGGCCGTGGTTTTCATCGTTGCCAAGCTCAGCCAGGCCGCTGGAGGATATTTTTCCGCCTTTGGTACGCCCGATCTTTCGCCCTCCATAGGGCTGACGGAAGGGAAAGTGAATGTCGATGGACCTACACTTCCGCTCAGAACGTGCACGGTCGCGGTGAGGCACGCAAATATGGTGACACCCCACACACGCGATCTATATCTATGTAGTGGCGACTAGCAGCTTGATGCCTTGCGAATATATGTCGCGTCACTGTAAACAATATCAACAATACCAACAACATCATCAACAACAACAGCAGCAACAACAGCAGCAGCAACAACAACATCAAAACAATAACCACAACAACAAACAAGAACAACGCCGACAATACGCAGCAGACGTGGCAGCAGCATCGACGACAGCGAACCCGTGCTCACGGCTGCTGAGGCCGCCGCTGCCGCCGCGAGCGCAACGGCGGCAGTCGCCGCCCAGAGCAAGAGCGACGGCGCCGATGCGACAGCAGGAGGGGGGAGGCGAGGCAGCCTGGGAGGCCGTCGAGGTTCTGCGACGCTGTCGGGGCTAGGGGATGGTGGGCTCCAAGAGGTGGGGGCACGGGTTTGCAGGGAGTGCACGATACCGCTCGTGTAACCGATCGAAGACTTCGCTTCGAAAGTTTGATTGTCGTGGCTGCTGTGAGCATCTTTTCGTCTTGCTTTGTTTAGTTCGGACGGGTGCCTGGGCGTGCTTGTTTCTTGGGGGACGTGAAGTCCCAGTCCACGCCATGGGAGGTGGACGGCGGATGACTCCCAACAACGTGCGAAGGTGTAGGCCTCTCGTTCAATCCAGCCAAACCTGCGCCTGATTCCGATGTAGCCGGTGCAAACGTGGTGTATGCGCTCTGGGTCTACAGGTGATTTAGTGGACATTGTAGCGGTGCTAGGTCGTGCCCTTGATGTTCACTCGTTGCTCACTTCGCAGCGTTCACGATTTCTTCCATTCCACCACGTTCTTCCCGTTCCGCCGTCAACTAACCGTCCATATGGAAAAACGGAAGCAGGTGCCGCAGATCTCCAACCGGAGGGGGAGCGGGACATCGAAGGCGGACGTGGAGAAACTCAAGCGTCGAACGGAGTACGGTAAAGAGGTACGGTACTATGCAGGGAGACACCCGGTGATTTTGAGCACATTTTTTGCGACCTTTGCAGCTTGTTTCGTGATACCGCTGTTGTATGTGCTGAAGTCGTCGTCGCCTCAGACAGGGTGGCTTTGGTCGTCTTGCCATATGTTTCTGCTTCCCGCTTACAGTCGAAACGTTGGGCGCCCCGATGCCCGTACGCCCTGTGGTGATACGATCGTCGTCAATGTTTAGATCGCTCGTTGTCGCTTTCCGTCATCGGTACCGTCGCCGCCGCCGCCCGTTGCGATGAATACACCGTATAAGGGCGAAGGAACCGACCGCCACCGTTTTGGGCGGTCGAAAATTTTGCCCTCATAAGGTGTATTCATCGTAACGGACGACGGCGGCCACACCATGATGACCGTGCACGACAAGGAGCAAATTAAGTCTTGGCGACGAAGGAAATACATGGTGTAAGGACATCGTTGAGCTGAGACGCCCAATATTTCGGCTGTGACCGAGAACCAATAACCACCACCAATGAATCAACGCAACGTTCAGATTCATCACGAGGCGAGTGCACAGCTTCAATGGGTCAGCTTCATCTCTTGGTCGTCGATTCAGCCGACGATTGGAGGGTTGCGGGCGCGAGACGCAACCTGGTACACGCTCCACCAGAAATTACTCTTTTCAAAACTTTTTCGTCTTGCAACCTACAGCCGTCGCTCATCCCCCTCTTCGACGCTACTCCTCTGTCGCTGGACTTTTTGACAAGGTTCGCGATAGCTCGGTTGGGCTTCTGTGAGGGAAGGGGTATGCACTCGCCCACCGCGCGATCAGGGTCCAGACAACAGGGCAAATCTACAACCTGCCCTACCCACCGACCGGTCGAGACCTCATGCCTGGATGAGGTTTAAGGTTTTCCTCCTCGCGGGAACGCCTTTGGATGCGCCAGGAAGACAATGAAGAGGGACGGTTCGTTAACACCGCGAAGGGCGAAGTGACGAGCTCTCCATTTTCTGGTTTTGAACGTTTGCCTCGAGTCACTTCACCCTCACGGTCGGGCACCGTTGATACTATGAGTGTGCGTCGACGACAGGCCCCGTACTACGGTAGACAATGCACCAGTAAATACCAATTAATTAGAGAGATGGGCCGTAAAACTTCTTCTCCCCAATTTACCCTATTATAGTTCAGTGCGCTGTGAGGAACAGACCCCTTGCCTATCATCCACACAGCAGAACAAAAGTTGCGTATGCATACACACATGTGCTGTAGCTTCAGAGAGGTGGAGGCGTTCAGACCGACGTCTTTCGTATAGCAGAGGCCACGATCTCTGAAGGCTTTACGTACACTACGAGGGCAAATTCGAGGCTTCTCTCTTTCTTCGGCATGTCTAGTAATAGTAATAGATACTCCAGCCCACACACAGATAAGTGGGTAGCTTCCCTCTGCGGTGGCTATTTGCCTTCATTCACGTGTCGTCCACGCGCGAGGGTTCCACAGCAAGCAGTGTTTTGCCCCGTTCATCATTTTATTAAATTGTTGTGTGTTCTCACGGTGCTAGTCTAAATCCTCAACCAATCGATTTGCAAGAGGTCACAACATTACGAGGTTTCCCAATGAAGCGCAAGGCAGGGCGGTCAGCTCCTTTGCATGGTCCTGGTAGGGAAAATAAATATCGATGTGTTAGGTGGCGAACTATCTGATTGTTTGCTGCTGTTGTAATGAAATGTAAAACATGTGCTTTGTTAGCGATATTTCGCTGTGCACTAGCAGCAGTACGATGCTGCAGATGCCAGGAGGCTGTGTAGCCTACCTCAGAGGTTCACACTCTGTGCGTCTCCAACCGCGAGAGACTTGGAATGGAAATATATATATGAAGATGCTTTTATTAGTTGCTGACTCCCGAGTCAGATGTTGCTGGTGCTGAAGAGGAGTGAGAGGAGTGTGCGAGCTTAGGGCTGCACCACTCTTCTCGAATACCGGACAAATAAGCCAATCACACGAAAGATCCAGAATGCTTCCAGAATGATTTCTGGAAGCCCTCCTACGTTCTAGAAGAGTATCAACTGCAACCTAGATCTAGAACGCTTCCAGAAGCTTACAGAAGGAACCAGAAGTTTCCAGAAAGACTTCCAGAGGCTACAGGAGGAACCAGAAGTTTCCAGAAGGCTTCCAGAAGCTACACACGTTCTACATAGATGTCCCGGTCAACCTTGACCTAGCATGCTTCCGGAATATTCCTAGAACAAGAGGATA